AAGGTACACGTCTAAACCCTGAATCTAAACCCTGAAATTTCGGAAAGCTTTAAGTCCTTGAAACCTTTAGGGTTTAGGGTTTAGGGTTTGGGGTTTAGGGTTTAGGGTTTAGGGTTTAGGGCCCCAGACTCTAAACCCAAACCCAACCCCAACCCCTCAACCATCAACCCTAAACCCCAGGCACAAGTGGTGCAAGCCACGGTGATCGGCGCCGGTGGAGACGATCTCTTGAAAGCCCCCGGACAAGTGGATGGTACCTCGTCGTTTCGGGTTGGGTTCCCAGAGACTCCAGAGCCTCTTAATTAAGGGTTTAGGGTTTAGGGTTTAGGGTTTAGGGTTTAGGGTTTAGGGTTTAGGGTATGCCTTAAGTCTCATTAGGGTTCCTATCATAATGTAAGGTATGTTCCTTTAATCCTGGCTAGTTTTAGGGACCCTTCTTACCCTTACTTATGGCTCTCCTAAAAAGGGACCTTATTGAGAGGGTCTAGATCCCCAACAAGGGTCCCGCTACCCCTCTCTCCTATTTCAGGGGTTTTGGAGTCTCTGAGTTCGGGGGCTGCTAGGTCGCAGACTTGTTTAGGGCTTCCATAAAGCGCTTATCAGCTAGACCCTGACCAAGGTTTAGGGTTTAGGGTTTAGGGCTTAGTAAGGTATGATGATTTACCAGAAGACTTCTCAGTGCTGTCGCTGCTGTTGTTGCCAACCCAACATCGACTGGACAGTGCATGACTATGTGGAGGATTGGTCGGCCGTCCCTTGTCCAAGAGTAGTAGGCTTTATGGACAGATGACCACACAGGTTTCATCGGGCATTATACGTGGTGTATACGGCTTATGGGAAAATTTGGAGCAGTTGTGTGCATTTCCTGAAGTGCCCCGAACTACAGAAGCGTGACGCATCCGCATATTCATTTGGGTGATGCAATGTTTTGTCGATCAGGCAGTGAACGTTTTGCTCTTCTTTTTTGTTGCGCTGTTGCTGCTTCGTCCAGTGCTTTCCACTGGCTCTTTTTGTCCTACATGCCATAACTTCAATGCCTTGAGGTTTAGGGTTTAGGGTGCAGGCCCCTAATCTCACCAAGGACATGTCGCTGGCGGTGAAGATGACCATCACGGAGGACTCCAGCTGGTTTGGCCGCTGCATGTCACACTGCTGGCCCGGTTGCTAGGTGGCAATTCGGAGTTTAGGGTTTAGGGTTTGGGGTTCTTTCAAAAGTCATCCTAAACCCTCAACCTAGAAATTCAGACCTTCAAAATTCAACCCAGGATGGCGTGCCATCAAGTACTCGGTGCACAATGGGGATGAAAATGGTCCCGTGTTGTTCACCATTGAGAAACTCGATGGCACTGCAGGAAGAAGTATTTTGCTTTCCCTCATGGTCCAGTAATGAGGTGCGTCTGTTCTGCGACCTAAACTTCTAAACGGTATATAAGCCCGAAACCTCAAACCCCGAAACACTAAACTCTATGTCACACCCTAAACCTTAAACCGTAAACTCCTCCACCCCAAACCCAAAAACCCTAAACCCCTACACCTAAACCTAAAACCACCACCCCAAAGCCACTACAAACCCAGGAAAGGCTTCACGTGCTCCAACTGTCCACTTATCATTCAGGGTGACGGCGGACCGCTTCGATGCCCGTGCTGCTGTTGCCTCCCGTACTTGGAGGTTCAGGGTTTAGGGATTTGGGTGTTTAGGGTTTAGGGTTTGAGGTTCATGGGAACTAATTTATGGTTTTAAGGTATAAGTACCTCAACGGGGTTATTAGCGGAGGTTCATTGGTAGTTGTACGTAGGGTTGTAAGTCCTGTAGTGTAGGCTAAAACTATAGTTATCCTACTTATCCGCCGCACTTATAACTACCCATGTTGCCTCCAAGTAACCCTTATAGTACCCTTATACAAACCCCATAGAAAACCTTACAGATACCTGAAAGGGACCTAAACCCTTAACCCTAAACCCTAAACCCTAAACCCTTAACCCTAAACTCTAAACCCTAAACCCTACAGATCCCTTAAAGGGACCCCTAAAAACTTAAAACCCTACAGATCCCTTAAACGGACCCCTAAAAAAAGGGAACCTCAACGTAGAGGCGAAGACTCCGAGCGGCCAGCACCTGGGAAAAGCTTCTCGGCTCTCTTGGTCGGCTTTTCGGACTTTAGCGTTACGGTTTAGGGTTTAGGGTTTAGGGTTTACGGTTTAGGGTTTATGGTTTAGGGTTTAGAGTTTAGGGTTCAGGGTTCAGGGTTTAGGGTTTAGGGTTTGCGGTTTAGGGTTCCAGAGCATCAGGGCCAGTTGCGGAGTTTGAACTCTCGGAGAGTGTTACAAGTCAGCCGAGGTTTCGTACATCTGTGATGCGTGCCCATTTGTCCCGAAGTATGACATCTTTGACAAGAAAGGCGTACCCATGTTCCGTGTCCGCCCGGACACTTGCGTAGGCGGGCTATGTGTCCAATGCCGATGCGGTGGGGGCACGAAGGGCAAGTGCTTTCGCATTCCCTTCCCTATCCGCGAGCCTATGCCCCTTGTCGCCTTGTCGCCCCTATGTTGTTGTAGTGATTAAAACAGGTTCCACACCCCAAAAGCCCTATGTTATTGTAGCAGTTGTAAAGGATACCAGACCCTAAACCCTAAACCCTAAACCCCAAACAAAGAGCTACTCTGGTCACTAAGGCCCCCCTACCGTCCCTTGGGAGATGCCGCAATCACTGACCTTTGGGCCGGCATGAAGCACGAGTGCTGCACCCAACGTGACCCGGGGAGTTGGTTTAGGGGTTCAGGGTTTAGGGGTTTAGGGTTTAGGGGTTAGGGGTTTAGGGTTTAGGGTTTAGGGTTCTAGGGTTTTAGGGTTTAGGTTTAGGGATTTTTGAATTTGTGCATAGTCTGCGGCGGTCAGAAGTTCTAGGAATACCGGTCTTATACTCTGGTCTTCGGAAGGAATTGAGGCTTTAAAGTTTCATGGGTCTGAGCAAGAAGAGCTCAGGTGAGATGTACCAGGTCAAGTTTCCTCAGAACATGGAGGATGCCGAGACGGTGCGCAAACTCATCATGGCCACTACTTTGCTGATTGACATCACTTTGAACGAGCAGGACCAGTGAAGTCTACGGCCGTGGAACTTAGAACCAGTCACGCCTAAAGCGGGCGTGAGGATTCCCTAATTCGTCCCTTCCCCTTGTCTTTGCAGAAGGAGCTTGCATTAGTTCGATGACTCGCCATCCAACCCCAGTTGGGTGACAACTGCTTTATGGCATGACGTTTCCATGTTGCCGAAGGATGTCGATACTCAGAAGTGTGGGGGAGAGTGTGGGTGGCTGCAGCTACGGCTGGCACTGCCTTCCCTTCGCTTCCCTTCCCTTCTTGTCCCTTACCCATGAGACGAGGAAGTCCTAGAAGAATCAGCACGATGACATGGTCACACCTCATCACCCTCGCCACGATTACCATGCTTCTTCAATACCCTAAACCCTAAACCCTAAACCCTAAACCAATATTGGTGGTTGGTTCCTTACTCTCCTCGGTACCGCTCGCTTGGTACATCCGGCAGCATGTAGCTGTAGCACCTCCGCAAGGTCCCTTCTAGGCCCTAGGCTTTGTCCAAACCGAGAGACTCCGAAAACCGTCAATGCAGGAGTGTACCGTAAATTATAGGGTTTAGGGGTTTAGGGTTTAGGGGTACCTTGAATTACAATAGGAACCCTACGAAACAAGATTTAGAGTACATTGCTTCATGAAGGGGGTTTTGGAGCCTCGGGGAAAACCACTGTGTTTCGAGGCTGCTGTCCGAAGGAAAAAGCGGCCTTCTTGGTGTTTAGGCGAAACTTCCATCAGTTTTGGGGTTCAGGGTTTAGGGTTTAGGGGTTTAGGGCTTTAGGGCTTTAGGGTTTAGGGTTTAGGGTTTAGGGTACTCTTGATGCTTGCGAAACCCCGAGAAGCTTCGACGGTTTAGTAAAATTACAAGGCTCAGGGCTTAGGGCTCAGCGGTTTGGGGTTCAGGGTTTGGGAGGAGCAGTATTATTTAGGAGCCGCTTAAATTTAAACTGCATCGCACCGGAGGCGCAGATGGGAGCTCCGGGCAAGTGTTGACTATAGTGTTGACTATCCCATCAGTTGAATGCCTGAAAGAGGGGGTCAGCATAGACGTTGGAGATAATCGGTTGTGCGAGTCTTTAGGGTTCCATTTTTAAGTATCACTTTGGTATCACATACTCCAAAACGCTATTCTAAGCATTAACAACAATTTTGTTCGACCAGTCAGGTTTTGCTAGAGGTTACCAACAGAGGCTCCCTAGTCTATAAACCCTAAACGCCTGAAGCCCCAAACACAAGCCCCACACCCTAAACCCAAGCCCTGAAGCCCTAAAGCCTAAACCTCAACCCTAAACGCTAAACCCCATCCCAAAACCCTAGGCCCCAAACCCCTCCATTTCTCCTTCAAGAGTGCGGTTGTTGCGTGGCCAGCTCGCTTTCCTTGGTTTGCTTAGTTTCGCGGGGTGGGTTCTTATTACTTATGGATATATGTCTGCTTCTTCGGATCCCTTCTCTTAGCATTGATACTTGGGTCCTCGGTTTGTCAAGTGTGCAGCACATGCGAAACGTTCCTGCGAGGCCACAGACGTTGGCTTCAGAGCATACCCATAGGCCCCATAGTTGTTCCTTTTTGGGATTACCTTATAGGATTCTAAATGGGTAGTTCTCTGAATTAAGGTCCCTTTTAGGGTCCATTGTATAAGGGTGCCGTACTATACTGGGGACCTAGAAAGGGACCCTAATTTAGAGAACTACCCAAATATGATCCCAAAAAGGAACTTCTATGGGGCCTGCGGGTATTGCCCGGTGCGGATCTCAACTGCTCTTCTTGCAGGGCTTGGAATGTGGGACTTTCCGAATATTAGGGGCACCTTATTTTGGGGCCTTTTGGGGGGCCCTTATAATAAGGATCCTGCTATTTAGGGTCCTATATTTGGGTCCCCTATTTTCGGAAACCCCCATGTAGCTCAGCATTGCCAAGAATGGCAGCGGCAGCAGGAAGATACGGAGGTAGAGGAGGAGTAGGAGTAGCAGTAGCAGTGGCAGTAGCAGTAATGGTCATGATATCAGGAATAGCAGCATGGATAGCAGTACCACAGGGTTACATGGCAACATCAAGAGCAACGACAACAGCAACAGCAACAAAGACGATAGCAACCACATCATAATGTGAGCAGCATAGTCATGGTCATGGTGCGAGCAAAGTACCCTACCAGCAGCAGTCAGAGGTCTTGATGACCATACAATCCAAAGGCAACAGTCGGTAGGAATACTAGCAATGCTGAACGGAGGCTGCAACTAAACAAGACAATACCCACAACGGCACTGCCCAGATCAGCGCTAGCAGCAGCAACAAGGGTTGAATCCGTGCCAGGTAGTAGTAGAAGTAGCAGTAGCAGTCGCAGTAGCAGTAGCAGCTTCATTATTATTGGTCGTGAGATAGATGTTCGGTTTCTGGCCAAACTGCGATCTTGCTTGCGGTAGTAAAGGTAATACCGGCAAAAAGGAGGCGACCATGCAAACCATGGTACTAGAAATGTCGTCTACCGGCGACAGGTGGAGGTGAAGGCACCAGCGGTTCTCAGGGCAGATGGCCTGTGGTTGAATCCCGTGGTGAAGACAAATGCCACGAAGTCCCCAGAGAGGCTTTACGAAGTTGACCAGTGCTGGTCAAGGGCTCCGAAAAGCGGACCTACCCACAATTAACCAGGGAAAATTGGAGGATTGCACGGGCAGAAGCAACTCCTCCGCGCAAGTTCTGACCCTTCCGATGCGAAAACCTTAGAAGCTGCCGCTGCATCCAACATTAATGCAACAGGATTCGGAACACTCGAACGGCTCGCAACCCAAGACCCAAAATCCCAAGGTCCCCAAATCCCAAGCCCACGATCCCGAAATACCATGAGCTGAGGCTTTCTCTGGCTCGCTGATGAGACGCCATTTGCCTGTTTCCTAGGCTTTTTTCAAGGTGTTATATCTTTCAAGGGCTTCATCGTGCCTAGAAGGTGTCTTGCCATTTAGTTGTTTTAGGGATCCTTTGACTATAAAGAATTGATGTTGAGGCTTTTTTTGTTTTCTCCAGGTGTCAGGCAAGGCCGGAGAAATATGTGTGTTTCTGTAGGTTTTAGGATTGAAGCTGCCTATGCAACCTCCTACAAGCTCGGAGAGTTGTGGGCATGCCGTTCAGAGTGTTCCGCCGGCCTGAGGAAAAGAGATTGCAGACCGTCTTGTTGCAGGTGTGCATGCCCCTAAACCCTAAACCCTAAACCCTAAACCCTAAACCCTAAACCCTAAACCCTAAACCCTAAACCCTAAACCCTAACTGCTCCGGCTCTGGCTTCTGGGATGTCAAGCACAGAGCCATACCCAAAGCCATCAGCCCCGGGTCTTGCAGTGCCATCTCGCAACACATTCGCAACGAATGAGCCGCGTGTTCTGCAAGAAGAGGAGCCGAGTAGTGCAACTCTGACGTCGATGCTGTTCAGGGCTTAGGCTTTTACGGGCTTGATACTGGTTGCACCACAGGTAGCAACAAGATCACCATGATCAGCATCGGCAGAAGCAGTCGGATAAGTTGTGCAGACACTAGCACCAGTGCACGCCCGCGCAACATCACTCGAGATCGAACTAGTCGTCCGCAAAGCGAGACACTGAGATTCCTGCAAGTCATGACGGCTCCTTCTAGCAACGAATATCCCCTGCATACTCCCCACGTAAGTCTAAGCATGATAAAGCGTGCCGCAAAAAACCACTCTTCCAGTTATAGGGGTACCTATTATTTAGGGTTCCCCAAAAGGGACCATAATTTTGACAACTACCCATAGAGGCCTTATAGAAAGCACTGCTTCTCACTTTGGGCTGCGATGACGACGGAGAGCTTTCGTAAGGATGTTGCCAAGAAGCTGCCGGAAGCTCAGGATGGAAGTCACGAAAAAGAGGGCGTTCAGACTTGGACAACCCTACTTACGGTTTAAAGTTTAGGTTTTAGAGTTTAGGGCTTAGGATGTAATTTGGTTCGAGTTTGGGGTCTTGGCGGGCAGATAATCCGAAGTCGGCTCTCAACTGAGTTCGTTTTGATGCTTCGAGGGGTCAAGGTTAGTCCTATCGGAAGCTGTCCTGTGCTGCCGAAAGAACGCCGTCCTATCACTTGATCATGTTTCCGGCGATGCATAAGGACTGCGTTCGGATCCGGAGACAGGGGGCCTACAGTAACTGTAGCTACCAACATGATTCCTTAGGGTTCCGTACCATATTTGTACCATAATACAGCAAAGCCTTATTCTAGTTATTAAGGTCCTTGTGTTTCTCTGCCTTACGAACTCTTGTTAGACACTTGTCGCGAAATACTCACAAGCACGCACTATCACGCACTTCAACCATTTGTAAAGGGGTTTCGGATGTCTGAGGGAGCGCAGAAGCCCTAAACCCTAAACCGAGGATCGTTGGTAAGGCGGCATGTCCTTGCGGATTTATTGTCAAGACGTTGCCGTCGCAGAAGTCTCGACCCCACATCCTCCTCCTGTAGTGTTCTCGGGAGTTCACAGCTTGTTAGGATGATAACAAAACTCCAAAGGGAGTTTAAAAGCCAAAAGTCATTGCTATCTAGGTTCCGAGGGCGCGCAAGAAAACCCTAAACCCTAAAC